CAAATATTTTAATTATCGAATATTTTGTTTAAATTTTCATTTCAATTCTATTTTCATTTAATACAATTTCTATAAAAAAAATTTATTTCATAATAATTTTAATAAAAATTAATTATTTGATTAAATATTATTTATTTAAATCAATAAAAATAAATAATTTAAATAAAAATAAATAATTAAAAAATAATAATCCTGGGGACTAGGCCGCCAGCAAACTTTTGCCTGGGTAATTTTTTTTTCTGCCGGGAAATTCATACCCGCGGCTAGGCTGTCAGGAATTTTTTTGCAAATATTTCATACCGGCGACCAGGCCGCCAGCAGATTATTCAAAAAAAATTCGTGCCAGCGGCCAAGCCGTCAGTCTCATTTCCTTTTTAATCGGAATTCAAAGATTATTGTCGGTGGCCTGACCGTCAGGATATTACATATCTGACGACAATAACATACCGGTGGCTTGGCAGCCAGCATTTGCCGCCAGAACTACGCTGGTTTTTTGTAATGTGTATCCTGTCGGTTATCGCATGTATACATCTTCTTCCAGAAATCCATGAAAGAAAGCGTTCGAGACATCCAATTATTTTATCGACCAATCACGATTTACTGTCAAGGATAGAATGATTCGAATTGTGACTGCCTTTACAACCGGAGCAAAGATTTGGTCATAATCTAGACCGTATCGTTGTCTAAACCCATTTGCCACCAACCTGGCCTTTCTCTTAGCCAACGTACCATCTGAATTTTGTTTGTTCTTAAAAATCCACTTGCAACTCAAAACATTTTGCTCGGGGGACCTTTGTACCAATTCCCATGTTTGATTGTCCATGAGAGCTTAATATTCAAAATCCATTGCTACTGCCAATCCAGATCTTCTAATACTTTGATTGCCTCATTAGGCACTGACGAAGTGGCTGAGATCTGAAGCAGATACTTAGGATTGGGTTTCTGAATACCATGAAGCCCATGAGTCTGCATCTGATGTTCACGACTGATCGGAACTTGCAGATTTGACACAATCATGTTATCTTCAGTTGACGACTCTGAACCAGTTGTGTCATCTTCAGATGGAACCAGATCGGATAAGTGTTTGTCGATAGGATTCACTTCCGTTGTTGAGGAAGAGATGGTCATCGGGACCGTGGTCAAGATTGACGGATCGGTGAGAGACAACGTGTCCCGAGATTTCATATCTTCCAATGGTAAATGCTGACCAAATTCATCCTCAAAGAAGGTAATATCGCGAGAAACCGTCATTTTTTATTTATTTTGGATTGTAACATAAATATTCTTGATGTTCTTTTAGATAACCCACAAAAATGGGAGGATCCGAGCGAAAAGATAGCTTATGTTGAAGAATTGGTAGTAGATTGGGATAAGCAATACACCCGAAAACCCGTAGGCCCGATAAATTGGGAAGTTGCCCGAATAGACATTCATACGGAGTCTTCTTCTCTAACACTTGTGTCAGAGTTCTATTATAAAGGAAGGCCACCGTAGAGAAAACATGGCTCTAGAAATTCAGGCGTAGTTGAGCATGATTCATAAGTGTGAGCCCGACATCGACGATGTGTCGATGACGTCTCTCAACAGTGCCCATCTGGGTGTGCGCATAGGGGCATGAACGTCGATGAGAAATTCCGTTCTCTTGTAGGAACGAAGAGAAAACTATGAACTCGCCTCCGTTGTCCGTCTGAATTGACTTAATCAGTCTACCCATCTGTTTCTCAACTGCGATCTTGAATTTTTTGAAGACCGCCAAAGAATCAGATTTTTGTTGGAGTGGAAACAACCAATTAAATTTTGTAAAAGAATCCACAAAATTTATGTAGTAACGGTATCCATCTATTGAGGATACTGGTGCCGGTCCCCATAAATCTGTGTATATGATTTGAAGAGGCTCAGTAGAATGACAAGGTTTCATGGATTTATTACAGACTGGAATAAAAAACTGACTAACAACAGATTTTGTAGTTTGTTCATTCATATGGCCTAAGTGATTGTGCCACTTCTATAGTGATTCCACCACATTCAGATTCGAAGGAATACTTTGATAATCCAGCTCCAACTAATACAAGCCATTGACTACCTTTCCTCTCGCAATCAGCTCATTTCTCCGATGATCCTTTACACAGACAGAAGAGGCATCAAATACAACTGGGTGAGCAGTGTGCTCTCTCAGAAATTGAATATTCTGAATATCAGAGGTGACGTGATCCGTAACCCCCGAATTTGGATACCAGAGGGCATTAGCTCGAGCCTGAGTTGCAGTTCGCTTAGCATAAGCATCCTGGCATGCTTTACTTTCTTCCAGCGTCGGATACACTTGCTCATTATGTCGATTGTGGCATACTAGAGAAATGTGTCCTTTCTTCTTGCAGATTTGACATACAACCCGACCCTTCTCCTTTTTAGAGACAAAATTGGCAGATGCAAATGATGTGTTAAGAGCACAAACCTTGTTATTGCAAATTTCCTGATTGAGGAGAAGACTTCATACTGCCGGTAACGTTATGATTGCGGTATGCGATGATATCACCACCGCTATGATAGCCTCATATTCAGTTTCTAATCCCCCCAGAATAAATAAAATGCATTCAGAGTCGGTGACCGTCGTCCCGGTAGATCTGAGCTTGCCTACCAGTTTAGTCACCTTGCCCAGATAGTCGGAGACCGATGTATCTCCTTTGCACAAACTTTGAAGCTCATTTCGCAGTTGCAAAATGCGAACCCCTGGTGTGGAGGCGAAGATTTCTTGCAGAACTGACCAGACCCTTCGTGGAAGATTCATAGCTGGCCACTTGAGATAAAATCTCCGTAGACAGAGATGAAAAAAATCCATCCAAGCAGGAGTTGGTCCTGTTGGATCATAATTTCGTTTGCTGGAACGAAATTTTCTTCGATGTAATGAAGCAGTCCGTATCCCCGAAGCATAGTCCGGACGTGTGCTTGCCAGGCGAAGAAATTTTCCTTATCAAGCTTCACCAGATTTAGGTATTTGATCTTGATAAGTTTCATCTGTGTCGACAATTTGCTGTTGTTGGAATTAGGTATCACCGTTGCTGATGAGTTTTCACCGGAATTAATGGAGGAGAGATTGTCGAGACAGCTAAAGAACTTATTGTGAGGATGAAAATCCAGAACAAGAGAAATAACTAGGATCGAAAAAGAAGAATCCGATCAAGCTCTAGATACCATATTGAGATTGGAAAATATATTGATCTTCGATAAATGAAAAGAGGGGTTGTTGGTATTTATATAGACCGAGACCCAACAACCCAATATAGCAATAACGTTATATGGAAATAACGTTATATGGAAATAACGTTATATAGTAATAACGTTATATGGAAATAATGTTATATAATAATAACGTTATGATTATATACATAATTAGTTATTATTTAACTATGGTTAATAATCATCATATCATTTACATGTATAAGGATGTAGATCATGTGATTCGATTCGATTTTTATGTAAAAAGTGATGAGTCGGCTAGACTTTTGGTGAATTCCAGATTTATCAGTGTATCCTTTAAAATCTAAAACAATTGTTTCAATCCATAAATAGATTTCCTGAGTCGGCAACCTTGAATGGAAAATTCTGAACAATAAATCTTAAATGTTGTTTCATCGGTATTACTTCTTTAATTAAGTACGCCATTAAGAAAGGCGTTACCTATATCAATCTGACTAATTTTCCATCGATTAGTGATTGCAATTGACAGAATAATCCTTATAAAAATTGGCTTGATTAAAGGGAAAAACGTTTCGTGGTTATCACGCCCTTCAATCTGATTTACTCCGTTTGCAATAAGACGGACCTTCAGTCTGTCGATAACATAAACTGTTTATAACATTGTCGTTTAGTTTACTATCAACCGACTGACATAGGATTGTACATCAGCCCTTCTCGTCAGCAAGGATTAGGGTTCTGTTCGCTTTATACCGGACCCCTGGAAGGCTCCCACGCGAAACTAAAAGTCTTCGTCGAGACCCGAGTCAACCCTCCAGATCGCCGATTAGGTCTGCCAAATCGCCGATTTGAGGATTTGAGGAGAAGATCGTTAGAGTTTGGCAAACTGGCGATTTCTCCCTCAAATTCGCCGGTTTCACCCCAACTCACCGGTTATATCCCCAAATCGTCGATTTCGGAGCATTACTCACGTCCAGTCAGGGCGTCATAATGGCTGCCATTATGCCCCGGGCGTGATCTTCTCCGCAGATAGCGCCTCCCGATGCCCTATAAAAAGGGACCTCCGGAGCACATCAGACGGTGCCTTCCTCTGACCTTCTTCCTCTAATTATCAGTCTAGCCTCCCTGCCCAGTTCTATCAGCAAGCCCCATTTGTCACACCGGAATCTCCATAATATAGTATTTGGGGCCAGTGGTGTGCGGAGTGATATATTGAGGAAGGTGGCGCAAAGGAGGCTCGAGAGCAAGAGAAAATTTCGATATATTACCACTATAAAATATTGTAGGGAGCTGAAACCAGATATCCACATATTCAAAAGGTGGCATTTGTCGTCGTCCATGCAACACATAGGTTGGAGGAATCTTTCTTGGCTCACCTAATAAAAGTCTTAACCAATCACACAGTCAAAAAAATTAATTCTACATAAACCAGATATGTCCATGTGGTTGACCAAGAAGGTAGTGGAATTGAGAAAATACGACCTCAATTTCATTCCAGCCACAACTATTAAGGGGCAAGCCATCGCAAGCTTCATTGCAAAACTAACTCACATGGAAAATAGAGCATTATGAATAATATATGTGGATGTATCTAGTTGCACTTAAGAGGCATGGGTAGGCATCAGAATAACTAAGGTGTCAAACGAGCTGAGCCGAGCTTTTGCTTATAGAGCCAGGCTCGGGCTCGACTCGTTAAGGAGTTATCCAGGCTCGGGCTCGCCGAGCCTGGTTTGGCCGAGCTCAGGCTCGGCTCGTTAAAGAATTGTCAGGCTCGGGCTCGAACTTAACCTGCAGGTTAAAAAAAAATTTAGAGACATGGAGGATTGATCTCAGGACCTCTTGCATGCTAAGTAAACGTCCTACAATCTGTGCTACATCCCCTATTTTTTCTAAATATAATATTTTTTATTATTTTTTTATACTCCTTACCGGGCCCGCCAAACCAAACTGATGCCCATTCCTGTTGTTGTTTATGGAAGGCAAAAATAAGTAGTAAAATTACCAATTGGAATTTTTTATTTAAAAGAATTGAAAATGATTTAATTTCGGATAATGATAATTATGACTTATGAGAGGCTATGAGAAAATTGGTTATTACCAAGTAAATGAAATGAAATAAAGAAGAATAAAAATACAATTTTTGATCTATGTCAACGATTGATTTCTTCACTCAACACCAAAAGTCCAAAATAATGGCGAATTTTTGCTTTAATCTATGTCAACAATTTTTAATCTATGTCAACGATTGATTTCTTCACGACACATTTAGGGACATACTTGAAAATCACTTTATATAATTAATACAATTGACTTTTTTTAAATGACAAGTTTTTAATTTATGTCAATGAATGATTATTTCACTCAACATATCACCAGAACTCCAAAATTACCATAAAAATCAAAGGTTTGAATTTTGGAGAAAGAAATATCAATCAAGCTTTTAATATGAATACGCAGTTTACCAAGTAAACAAAATGAAATAAAGAAGAAGAAGAAGAAATCAACATTTGATTTGGTTGTTTCTATATATAATCTCTGTAGATTGTACTTTAGACAACTACACACACACAACAAACAGTTCACACTTTAGCGAGAGAGAGATCGAAGAAGAAGATCCATGAGTTTCCTACACTTGTTTTTATCATTGTTGCCATTTCTTCTTATAGGAGTGGAGTCACAGGCTTTGGAAGGCTGTCAATCTCAATGCGGGGGAGTGGAAATCTCCTATCCATTCGGCTTTGGAGAGGAACGTTGTGCCAAAAGCAATGATTTCTTCGTCAAGTGCCGTGAAAACAAACCCTATATTATCTCTTATGATAGGGATTACGAACTTGTTAAGATAGATATAAAGCAAGGTGAATTCATTGTATTAGCCGACTACTCGTCTCGCTGTGTCTCCGATCGAACTGACGAAAGAGCGCTTGTTAACGATTCATTGATTGTAGAGAATTTAGCTGGAACTCCGTTCACCTACTCCAAGCGCAATAAACTAACAGTAATCGGTTGCGCCACAAGTGTTTTCCTATACGATGCAGAAGGTAATAGAACTGATACAGGATGCTCGTCGATGTGTCGTAGCGATTTACAACAAGTACGCAGTGGTACATGCTCTGGGCTTGGCTGTTGCGAATCTTCCATAACTAAAGGACACAAAAATCTCAAAGTTAAGTTCATTACTTATTATTCTGAAATGGAAGTCGAGGATGTCAATCCATGCAGTTATGCTTTCTTGGTGGAGGAGAATGAGTTTAAGTTCAACAGAAGCATGCTTACGGAGAAAGTTTCAAGACAAGCAAGAACTGTGCTGGATTTTGCAGTGGATGATTGTGGGAAATACAGCATGAAAAATAGTTCATTGATAGGCAGCTGCTCGTGTCTTCTTGGATATGAGGGCAATCCATACATTCCAGAAGGCTGCAAAGGTATGTATATATAGAGTAATTTTCAGGTATGTTGTAGTCTAAATGCGTCATTATACGCCGAATCATTCTCGACCATTCGATTGTCATCCATCGGACGACGTGAGTTACATACATTCTACTACCTTACATTACAAGAAAAACGATCTTTAGGGACGACTAGAATTCGTCCATAATAATCAAAAGCCATCGCTAATTGATAATTAGGGACGGCTATTTCCGTTCCTGAAAGTCGTCTCCTTGACTTTTTAAAGATGGCCTTGATATCCATCCCTAATAAGATATTAGGGTTAGATAAGGTTTAGAATTAAACCGTCTCTAATTATTTTTCTGCGTCAATATTTTGGCGTCCAAATTTTCAATATTGCCATTCCTAAATTAGGTACGACGTCTCGTGCGGATCTAGAGATTAAACATGTCAAAGTACAACACAAGTAGAAGATCTTCTTCTACATATTGTACAATACAACAACATGTAGAAGGATAATGTTGTACAAAGTACAATCTAATTAATAAACCAACTACCTTTTGGTCCATATATTCTTTTACAACATTTATTAATAAATATGGCATCAATTCTTTTTGTTACAGATATAGACGAATGTAAGCAGGGAAATCATTCTTGCCCTGAGGATTCCATATGCATCAACACACCGGGGAGTTGCATATGCTCTACTCGGACCAAAACAAGTTTTATAGGTATGATCAAGTGAATACACAGAATAAACTTTTCATCTAAATATATCTAGCTTATAATCATTATTTTTTTTCAATATTAATTTCTACAGCTATAATATCTGCTCTAAGCGGAGGGATATTCATTCTGCTATTTGCTGGAAGCAGCTTTTGGTTTTACAAAAAATCAAAGAAGGCACAGATGAAGAAATTGAGGAAAAATTACTTCAACCAAAACCGTAGGCTGCTTGAACAAACATTGATTTTACAATCTCATGAAAACATCACTGAGAATACAAAGTTCTTCACCCTCAAAGAATTGGAGAAGGCTACGAACAAATTCGACGAAACAAGGGTTATCGGAGAAGGTGGTCATGGAACAGTGTATAAAGGTTTGTTATAACGTGTTGCAGCCATAAAATTATCCAAAACAATGGCACGAATTGATAAAGACGAATTCATAAATGAGGTGGCTCTCCTCTCTCGAACTTATCATAAGAATGTGATCAAGCTTTTAGGATGTTGTTTAGAGACGGAGGTGCCAGTGTTGGTATATGAATATATCTTCAATGGCACTCTCTCCGACCATCTTCATATTCCAGATCATTCTTCGTCCTTGTGTTGGGATGATCGCTTGAGGATCGCAACTGAAGTAGCTTCTTCTATTGTATATCTTCTTTCTGCAAGTTCAAACACTATTTTCCACAGGGATCTTAAATCGGCAAACATATTGCTAGACGACAAATTAACTGCAAAGCTATCAGACTTTGGTGCATCTAAATCTATCAACTCAGATCAATCTCACGTCACTGCTACTCATGTTCAAGGAACTATTGGGTATCTAGATCCAGAATACTATCAGTCTGGAAAATTGACTGAAAAAAGTGATGTGTACAGCTTTGGAGTCATTCTTGTAGAGCTTCTCACGGGAAAAAAACCGATATCTAGAGATAACACTCTAGAGGGAGAAAGTTTTATCATCACTTTCATCAAACTAGTTAGAGAAAATCAAGTCGATCTGATCTTTGATGAATCTATTGTGGAAGATTCTATAAAGGAGGAGCTTTGGGTAGTCGCTAGACTTGCCGGAGATTGTTTGAAATTGAGGGGAGAAGAAAGACCAACTATGAAAGAAGTCGATGCAACACTGGAAGGTTTAAGAAAATCCAAAAGGAAGCAAACGAAATGTAAAGACGTGGCCGAAAAAAAGAAGATAAGATATCTTTCCAATGAAATAAAATCAATGGTTTTTAGGGTGTCAAACGAGCCAAGCCGAGCCAAGCCGAGCTTTTGCTTATAGAACCAGCAGGCTTGGGCTCGGCTCCTTAAGGAGTTATCCAGGTTCGGGCTCAGCTCGTTAAACAAATTTCAGGCTCGGGCTTGAACTTAACCTGCAGGTTAAAAGAAATAATTTGGAGACATGAAAGATTGATCTCGAGACCTCTCGCATACTCCTTACCGAACTCATCGAACTTAACGAACTTGAGCTTTAGGCTCGGCTCGTTAGGCTCGCGAGCCCGAGCCCGAACCGAGCCCATCGAGCCGAGCTTTACTCTCCATCCGATAACAGCAATGGCTACTAAAGCCCCTGTCCACGCTCTCAATCTGATAACAGTGATAATTCACACTCTCAATCAAATACATCACTCACGCAGTGACGAACTATCACCTGTTTGGAGGGGGATAGGGTTGGCCAGTGGCAACCAGATGGGCTATGCATTTATCAGTGACAACCAAACACCAAAGGAACACATCCATTCTTTTGTTTGTCGCTTATATCATATTCTCGAACATGTAATTATGAGTTATATATGAAATCAAATATTATTCTAAATAACAAATCTCTCCTATAATCTATCTATCATTGAGGTATTATGGAAAATATACGCTACACCATATTTAGAATAATCATCTTAAGTTTTGACAACCGTATCAATATTAGGCACGTCACTACTTAACGTAAGGGTTCAAGTGCTAAAATACCACCTACTAGTTATGCCACACTGCCCTTAAGCCATTTCGCATAGTTGTGGCTTCAACTATATAATTTCTCACAACTTCGTTGTAGAAATCAAGATGAGGAGGAAAAACGTGGTAAGGATAGGGATAGACGTGGTTGGTGAGCGAGTAATATGGATGTGATGATATTGGGATAACGGGTGAAATTAGATGATAGGAAAATGTTGTCAAGATTAGATGCTTGAAATGAAGAAGATAGTAGGAAAAAATGATATAAGTGAAATGATGATGATGGTAGTCTTTGTCGACTGTCGTACAAGCTTAATATTATTGTTGTAGCACATCAACAACAATAGACATATGTCACTCGAGGAAGCTAACCTTTAATGCGGTTGCGGATTTATTTAAAAGGTTAACCAAAATTCGTTTTTAATGATGACATATTCTAAGAAAATAAAATATGCGAAAGGTACTGTAGATACCGTGACATTTGTATATACATTAGGTAAAGTGATGTACTCAAGGTTAAGTCAGAAAACCTCGAGATCCCCACCCAATGTCGTACGTAGGTAAATTATAAGTGCATAACTAGGGTTTCAAGTAAAGCTCTGCTCGATGGGCTCGAGCTCGTTAAGCTCGATGGGCTCAGTAAAGAGTATAAAAAAATATTATATTTAGAGAGAATGGGGATGTAGCACAGATGGTAAAATACTTGCTTAGCATGCGAAATCTCGCGAGCTTCGAGCCCGAGCCTGCTAACAATTCTTAAATCAAGCCGAACTTGAGCTCGGCCAAACCAGGCTCGGCGAGCCCGAGCCTGGATAACTC